ACGGCACTTAACAACAACAACAACAACAGAGAGAGATGAACTGAAGACCGAACATCAGGTTTTGGGTGGCATTTGGAGGAAACGTGGAGCACCTAGAACAGTCACTGTAAGAACTTCCGCGATGGTCACAGAAAGATTTCAGGCATTGCCTCACAAACCTTTCAAACAGTCAAGGGGCCTTCCAGGTGTCTTAAGGACACACTTCACAGACCTTCTCTGTGAAACAGCAGATTTGCTAAGAATCTTAAGGGCCTTGCTTCACATGGCCTCAGGAAACCATGGTAAAGAAGGACTTATCTTGAAGAGATTTGTGAGTGTGGCTTTCATCGAATGGAGTGGATCATCAGTTGATAACAGGAAACACACAGGGTTTTTAAAGGAGTTGTATTGGTTTAGACTGAAGGACAGAGACAGCACAACATGAAGGGAATTCTTTGGATCCCTGAACCACTATAGTCAGGAAGCAGACTGAAAAGCTACTCAGTTGCAAATACAGGCACTTAGAGGGTGGAGCCAAAAGCCCAGGGAGCAAGTCCTAGGAGTCGGATTAGATCCTAACCAAGGATCTGGTGGGCGGGGCCAGGGTGGATTTCAGAGGTGTTGGGGCCAGTCCCTGCTGTGTGATCCTTTTCCCTTTGTGAACGGGGGCACCTCCTGGGCAGACCCTCTGCCTGTCCCACTGCTGGGCGTGTGAAGGGAGTAATGTGTTTCATAGGCCTTCAGACCGAGGAAACCTGGGGTACACAGAGCGGCCACCTTGAAGTACACCAGTGATGGACCCTGCTGAGCTCCACTGACACCCAGCACCAACCACAAGACGAGCCTGGCCCCTGCCACCCAGTCACCCCAGCTGCTGGGTTCTTCCAGTTCACGTCCCAATTATGGAACAGTTGAGTCAGTCTCCCCAAGCCCTGTCTGAGTTCCTGACCGACAGAACTCATGAGTGTGACCCCATGGTGGTTTGAAGCCTTTGGGTTTTGGGGGTACTTTGTTATAAAGCCATGTTAACTGGGTGCCCTTGTATGTTTCCTTCCATGTGTCTCTGGAAAACATTCTCGTCTGTTCTCTCCTTGGGCTTGTCGTCTGTGTTCCCTGGGGCAGGCCCAGCCAGGAACCCCTGAGTCTGAGCAGTGTCCTTCTGCCATTGGCTCTGTCTGGGGACAGCACTCTGCAAAGGCAGAGGTGCAGGCGTGCTGGGGACCCCTGCTCTGCAGCCTGCAGGTGCCCGGGGGGTCTGGTGGTCTTTGGCCCCGAGTGGGGCTGGTCTCAGCAGAGATTGCAGTTGCGTGTGTCTGCCTCCTCCTGGGCTGCTCTTACCTGTCTGCGTAGGTCCTGGAGCCCTCGGCGAGCGTCTACCCGTGCCTTCTCCACCTCCCTCAGGCTGGCCCGCAGCTGGCCCGCCTCCTTCTGGGCTGCTGTGAGGGCCTCCGCTAGGACCAGCACCTTCTGCTCATTCTCCCCATTGGACCGCTTAAAACTGCAGAGGTATCAGGGCTGGGGCCAGGGAACCCCCAGGCTGGAGCCGCCCTAAGGGTGACCGTCAAGCTGCACAGCAGGTCCCTGGCTCTGGTGAGACGCCCTGGCCTCGGCTTTCCCCACGTTCAGACCCTCTTATCCTTAGGCCATAGCTCCATCCTGGGCCCAGGGCCCCACCTCTCACACCCTGGACCACACCCCATCCACATTCTCAGAGGACCTAGCATCTGGCTCTGCCCAGTGCCTCCACTGCCCCACCCTCACCCAGGCTTCAGTCTCCACCTTGCTATCCCTCCCATGGAGCCGCCTTCCTGGGGCCTCGGTCAACTGATGGCCTCTCTCCGCTCCCCTAGTCTCTGCAGAGACAGGCTTGTCTGTGTCCCCAGCCATCCTTTACGTGGGTCAGCACTGTGGGACCCCGCGGAGGTGAAGCTGTGGGCATGCCTGGGTCTCCTGCAGGCCAGGCTCTGCTGTTTGGTCTGGTTCAACAGGACGGATCTGTCTGCCTGGCCTGGGGCTGTCCATCTGGTCTGGTTCTGTCCGCCTGGCCTGAGCCTGTCTGCCTGGCCTGGTTCAATAGGGCGGAACTGGGTCTGTCCTCCTGGCCTGGATCAACAAAACGGTCCTGGTCTGTCTTCCTGGCTTGGGTCTTTCTGCCTAGCCTGCTTCGGTAAAATGGGCCTGGTCTGCCTCCTGGCCTGGGTCTGTCCACCTGCCCTGGGTTGAGAATGGTCCTGGGTCTATCCTCCTGGCCTGGGTCTGTCCTCGTGGCCTGGATCAACAGAACGGTCCTGGCCTGTCCTGCTGGCCTGGGTCTGTCCTCCTGGCCTGGGTCAACACGATGGACCTGAACCCCCTGCTCTGTTGTCCTCACTGGATAACCTCGGCGGCAGCCCTACCTGGCCTTCTCCTGCTCGGCTGTGCGGACAGCGTCCCGAAGCTCCATGTTTGACAGCTGCAGCATGTCCTTCTCGTGGGCCTCGTCACCCAGTGCCCGGCGGGCCTCCAGGGCCTCCCTGCGAAACCCCTCTCGGCTCTCCTCGATGCTCTGCAGCTCCCGGCGCAGTGTGGCCAGTCCTTCCTGGGCCACGGCCAGCTGTGCCCGCAGCTGCTCAGCCTAGAGTGCACGGGAGAGTGAGTGGCTCTCAGGTGCTGGCTGGTGGCAGGGGTTGAGGGCCGGGACTCAGGGCCCGGGCTGCTGCCCTGGGTATGCCCTCTGGGCTCTGGTCTGGCAGGTGCCTGGTGCTTACAGGGCAGGGTCCTTAGGTGCTTGGAGAAGGCTGCCTCCCTTCCTTGCTAGTCCCTGTGACACTACATCTTCCCAGCCTCCAGGCCCACCCTGATGAGGCCATAGGGCCCGACCCCTGCTGGCCTTGGTCTTGCTCCCTTCCTAGACACAGGGACTGCTGGCTGGGAGGGCCTGCTCCATGGCTCTGCCCACCTGTTTGCACTGTCCTCACCCACACTCTGCTGCCCGATGGCCTACCCTCTCCTCCGACAGTGGTGGGCAGTAGGGACCACGGCCGGGCCTGGTATGGGTGCAGGAGGCAGCTGTCTGGGGTCCTGGGACCTGAGGGCTCTGGCCCTGAGCCCCTAACTGCCTCCCCGGGGGCTCTGCTTCCCCTTTAGTGTGGGTGGCAATGGGGAGGGTCTCTGTGCCCCCCCCCCAAGCCAGAGCACAGTGGGCTGGCATCAAGCTCTCCGGCAGGAGACTGGCCATCACAGAGCCAGATCCACATGTGTGCTCCATGGAAGGGACACCAAGTGCCAGCAGCATCCCCACGGCCCTGAGGGGTGGGAAGTGGAGGCTGGGGGCACAAGCTGGGGAGCTGGGGGCCCCCAGACCAGCTCCCAGCCCTGAGCTGACCTCAGGGGGATTTTGTCAGCGACTGCCCAAGCCTCCTCTTGCCTCATTTGGCCCGTGTGGCCAGAAGACCGTGCCCCCCACTGCCCACCCAAACTCCCACCCTGGGGGCCCCAGGTCAGGTCTGCTGACCCAAACACACAGCTGAGCCACGCTGGCTGCGAGTGGGGGTCTGGAGCCCACCCGTGGGTTCCCAGGCCCAGAAGCCTTGAGATACCACAGACCCGTGGTCCCCTGGGGAAAGGGCATGAGTCAGGATCTCAGGATGGCCAGCCGCAGGCGGGCACGGGGCAGCTTTGTCCCAGCACTTGGACCCCTGGCCTTGGACCCCTGGCCTCCGGCCTCCCAGGCCACGCTCTGGCTGGCTTGAAGCAGGGTGCCTGAGAAGGCTCGGCTCTCAACTCTGCAGGGTCCCCGGGGAGGAGCCAGTAGCGTCCACGGGGTGGGGGAGCCCCAGGGACCTGCAGGTTCGCGGAAGCAGCCCTCTCTCCTGGCCGCCCACGGGCTGTGGTCCAGACCCCGCCCCCACCCCCTCTTTCTGCCGTTCTGTTTGGGGGCCGCTGGCCCTCCACTGCCCCCGCCTCCAGATGTGGGAGCACAGCCGTTGCAGCACTGTGTTTTCCGCCGAGCTCAGCAGAAACGCACCCACCCAGCGGGTCAAGGACCAGAGAAAGGGCCGATCCATCCTAAGTAAACTGTTTCCATTTCCCAGGGCAGAGAGTTGAAAACAACAAAAACAAACTCCAGGCGAGCCCCGGCCCGGCTCCCCCGCGTCCCGTGAGAACAACCGTCCCTTTTACAGGAATTTTACAGCCAAATCGCTTAATGTGATTATAAAACTGATTTCTTTACTAGAATTGCATAAACAGCCTCTTTTGAAATCGTCGGCAGGGAGGCAGCTCTGTGTTGTGCAGGGGGGAGGGGAACAGCAGGGGCTGTTGGGAGCGTCCAGGTCCGGGCACGTGTGTGCATGTGTGTGCAGGTACACAGGGTATATGTACTTGGTGGGCTGGCTGTGCTTCTCTGTGCACCATGTGCATATGTGTGCTGTGCATGAATTGTGCACACGTGTTTGTGTGCATGTGTGTTTGTTCACATGCATGCATGCATGTGTGCGGTGCCCATGTTTACACACTTGCATGTTGTGTGTGTTGTGTGTACACGTGATGGCAGAGGTGTGTGCATGTTGGTGCTTGTGTGCAATGGATGCACTCAGCGTGTGCATATGTCTGCCAGCATATTCATATGGGCATGTGTCTGTGTGTACATGAATGCATGATGTCTGTGCATGTCCATTGTGCCCATATGTGTTAAGATGTGTGTTATGTGTGCCCATGACTGCATGGGGTGTGCAAACATATGAGCAGTAAGGGATGTGTTTGGTGCATGCATGTGTTTGTGTGTATGCACATGTGTATGCTATGTGCCCATGCATCTGGTTTACACACATGCACGATATTATGCATGTGTGTGGGGTTATATTGTGTGTATGTATTTGGTGTACATATGCATGTGTGCATAAACCCATATATGTTTAAATGTATACATATTGTGTGCACATACATACATTTACATGTACACATGCATGTTTCTTCAGGAGCACATGAGCACATGATATCCATGTGTGGGGTGTGTTTGTGAGTGTGTAGGGGCGTGCACATGTGAGTGTGGTGCTCATGGGTGGGTTTATATGCACATGTATGTGAGTGGACATGCACACACATGTGGACCTCAGGAGGGGTTGTGAAAAGGCTGAAGCTCCCCCAGTTTAAAGGCTGTGCAAATGTTATGGTTTCCATGGTGACCTGGGCCAGCCTGGCGCCTGGGAGGGTCCTTGCATGCTGCCTCCTGCAGCGATGCCCCCCCATCGTCTTCGGACTCTGAGCCTCTGCCTCCTCCCCAAGCCCTTTCTGGGGGCTCGCCTCTCTCCTTTTGGGGGCTGCTTCTCCCAGAACCTGGAACATTTCACGAAGTCCCTGCTGTCCTCCTCTTCCCCTCCCCCACCCCAGCTCCTCCAGCCCCCCTTTGCTTCTCAGTGTGGTCGCTGACCGGCTGACTTTGAAATCTGTTGAAAGGGGGCCTTTCTCTTTCGGGGCCAAAGTAAACAGCCTGTCATGTTGAATCACACTCTCTCCCCCCCACCCCCTCGCCCAGCCTGCCCTCCGGAGGGTGCTTGGGAGGGGTGAGCCCCTCTCCTCACCCCCGGCTGCGAGTGGGGCTGCTCCCTCACCGGCCTGGAGCCTGGCGGCCACTTGCTCCGGCGCCAGGTCAGCGCCCGCCTGCTAGCCTTGGCATGCAGCCCGGGGCCCCAGTGTGAGGGGCTGCTACATCCCCCAGACCCCACCTGGGCTCCAGGCTGCCCTCTCCCCAACCCCCAGCCTCGAAGCCTCGGAATCTAGCCCAAGCGCCTGGGCCCACTGCCCCCCTAAGTCCTGTCAGACAGGCCTCAGAAACACCCCTCAGATCTGCCTGCCTGCCTGCTTGGGCCTCTGCTCTTCCGCCCAAGACTGCCCCAGACCCCGTCACGTGGCTCTGGGGGCTCTCGCATCAACCAAGTGCCCCGAAAGCACCGCCAATGCCCTCCACATCCTCTCTTGCCCCTCTACCCCAGGCACCCCCAAATCCAGCCTCACTCCCTACCCCTGGCGTGCAATCTCACGTTGGCCTCGTCTCGTGCCGACAGGGGCCAGAGCCTAGGGGCACAACCTCATCCAAGGAGTTCTTGTGACCCACAGGAGGGAGGGCAGGCCAGGGGCTCCCCTGGGCTGAGGGCTGGGTAGGGGCGCCCGGCCATGAGTGGTTCCCCCGCAGAAGCCTTGCTCAGGAGCTCCTGACGGCTCCTTGGAGCCCCCGCTCCTCTGCCGGTCTTCACGATGTGGTCGAGGCAGGCCTACCACGTGCTGTGGCCACCTGGCCACCTGGCCTCCATCCGATCGGGGAGAGGCAAGGGCCCAAGGTGGGCTCCGGGACAGGGTGGGCGAGCGCTGCGGACGAGCCCTCACACACAGCGAGCGCCAAGGGGCCAGGACTGCACCCCGGGCCCCGGGCCCCCAATTGCCCCGGTGAGTTCCCTCTGGAGCTCAGCCAGGTCCCTGACTCAGCTCAAGTTCCGCTTCTGCCCTGAAGCCAAATCCATCCCTTAAGAAGACTCAGGGAACTGGCTTTGTCTTCACTCAGATGCGACTCCCAGTGCTCAGCTGACAGCGGGAGCCTGGCAGCGTTCTGTCTGCTGGGAGACCACTCGGGGCTCTTGGGTCCGGGCCTCGCTGAGGGGGATGCCGGCCCGTCCCCAGCCTTGGGACCGCTGCCTTCTGGTCCCCTCCCCATCCCGCCCCCGGTCCTAAACGGCCCCACTCGCCTCTCTCCCCACACTGCCCCGCTCGGCCGCCACCTCCCGGAGGCTGGTGCTCAGGGCTGTGGTTTCTTTCTGGTGGGCAGTGATGGCGTCCGCAAACTGGGCCTGCAGGGCCCTCAGCTCCTCGGTCAGTGTGGTTACAGTGGCCTGGGGGAAGAACAGGGGTAGAGGATGGGCCCAAAGGCTGGCGCCGAGATCACCTGGGCCTCACTGGCAGCCACACGCCATCCTGGAGGGACCAGGGACAGAGGACAAAGGGCACAGACCCCCGAGGGGATGCACTATGGGGGCAGGGCCGCCTGGGTGGGGGTCAGGCCTGGCTTCCAGGTCCTGTGGCTCCCTCCTCTCTGGGCCTTTCTCAAGGGGTCCCCAAACTCTTCCACCACGGGCAGGTGGGCAGCAGGCCCGGCCAGCGGACTTGAGTGCCGACCCCTCTCCTATCTAAACCGTTCTTACTCCACCAATCTGCTGACCGGTGAGGGGAGAGGGTGGCCGTTCTGCAAACAACAGAAGGCGGCTTGGGCTGCAGCCCTGCTTCCACCAGACTTGCTGGTCAGGCTCCGTGCCTCATCTCCTGGAAGTGGTGGGTAGCTTATCGCCGCCCACCCGTCCTGGAGAAGGCTGTCCTGCTCCACTCCCCAGGACCCAGGACATGCAGCAGTGGCTGGGCGAGGGGGAAGCTGAGCTCAAGGGCCAGCCTGGCCCTCATTTTCCTCAGGTGGGTCTGGCTGATGTCCCTGTCCCACTAGCAAGAAATCATACATGTGCATCACAGGACCCAGGTGTTCGGATGTCCACGGCCCCCAAGGCACTGCCTGAGTCGGTCCTCCTGTTGACCAGCAGCCACTCTGGCCACAACACCCTCTCCAGAGCGACCGCCTGGCCCTGGCAGTACTCAAAGCCGGCTGTCCAGGGAACAAGGTCCCAGCACTGCCCGGCTCAGCCTGCACCCACCCACACAAGGACTCACACGACCCCCGCAGCGTCCTGGCTGTCAGTGAGGGGATCCTGCCCTTCCAGAGTGCAGTGTGGGCCCTGCAGGCCGGGAGGTGTGGGCTTGCAGGGGTGGGGGGCCCTCTGGAGCTGGTCTTATGTGTCCAGAGACACGCGGCACCGTGCTGGTGGCTGCCTCGGGCTCAGGGTCTGTGGGCGACCCCACCCCGTACTCGCAGGGTTCTGCAGCCCTCACCCCAGAGCACCAGTGGGTTGGGGTTCCCATCAGGCTGTGGCCTCTGCTTTTGGCAAAAGAGCTGCTGCGGGTGCCTTCTCTGGTCCCAGGCCCCTGCTGTCCCCCCGAAGGCAAGGCCAAGTAGTGAGCTCTGTGTCTGTATGGTGGGCACTCTGTGGGGACCTCAGGGACTTGGAGACAGGGTGTGGGGCTGGGTGAGGACAACATGACTCAGGCTGGGGCCCCTGCCCAGGGGGCTTGTTATGTGTCACTGAGAGCCGTCCTAGCTGGCTTTTCCCCCCTCCCTTCCCGGTGGGTTTAATTTCCATTTCCCAAGCTGAGGTGGCAAATGAGCCCTTAACAAGCTCCCTAAAGAGCCACCGGCAGGCGGGCGTGCTCCGGTCCAGGGGAAACTCAGAGCCAGCGCAAGGGGGAAGGCTCTGGAAGCCAGCGCTGCCCCCGGGAGGCCTCTCGTGGTCTGCTGCCCACGGGGCTGGCGGAGCAGCACGCAGCCGGGAGGAGGGAGAGCCCCCGCGGAGTCTCCCGGCCTGTGGCCTCGGAAGAAGGGCGGCCAGGCCTCAGAGGCGGGGCCGAGGGGTCTCCGGGAACCGGGAAGCCCTTGGGCAAGACTTTCCTGGGCCCTGGGGTGGCCCTGCTGAGGGCGACCCGGCACCAGGTCGCAGCGTCAGCCAGGGGGAGGTGAGGGCACCTTGGCTGCCCCTGGACTCCTCTTTGCAACAGCCTTTTCCACAGCAGAGGCCAGAGGGACTGTCAGAGAGCCCCTCCTCCAGCTACCGACGGGTCAGAGAGAAGGGCCGCCTCCCTGGCTGTGGAGGACACGGCCCCGCCCCAGCAGCCAGGGTGGAGAACAGTTCCCGCTCACAACTGCCCATTCACTGGCTCTGAGTCACTCACTCACCACCGGGCCATCTGGCCCCTGAGGCTGGAGCACCTGGACCCGCTGGACGGAAAGGCACCCAGGGGTTCTGCAATGCGCGGTGGTGACGGGCTGGACATAACGGTGGAGTCAGAGGGAACAGGGTGGGCCGGGCTGGGCTAGTGGGTGTGGCTGAGATGGGGGGAGAGGCCCGGGTGGGAGCCAGGGTGGCCAGTGCAGGGTCAGCACCTGTGACCTCGTCGCTCCATGCAGGGGGTCTCCTGGCCGCTGAGCCTGCTCCCTACTACCAGGGGTACACACCCACCTTTGTCTATTCTCACAGGCTCAGCCCCACCTCTCCGATTCCTGGTACATTGCTCTGGCCAGACTCCTGTCTCAGCATTGCCCGAAGGGGACCTGGCTGATGCCTTGGGCTCTGGACCTTAGAGGCTACCCTGTCCATGACAGCAGCAGTGCTCATGGGGGAGGCCATGGGGGACCTAGAGTCACCCTGACATGTGCCTTCCTGGCCACCCTGTCGTGGGCTCCAGATGAGAGGCCCAGGGACCCCAGCTGGCTGCCCACGGCAGCCTTAGCTCACTGTTGGGATGGGCAGCTGTTCCCCGGGGCTCTCACGGCCCCCAGGTCAAGGCTGCTTGGTCAGACTGGGCTCCCTGAGGGGTCCTATGGCCAAGGGTTGCCTGAAAGCACCTGCCGGTCTTAGCCAGTTTGGCTTCTCTTTTGCAATTTTCTCGGTGAGTTTGCCCCCTGACCCCCATGGCCTCGTCTGTCCCCCTTTCCCTCACTCCCTCCCCTGGCACCTGCGTTCTTCACTAAAAGCAACTCAAGAGCACAGTGGGGGGCTAGGGGTGCGAGGCCCGCGGTTCAGCGGGTTGGGCCCAGGCAAGGCCCCACCCTCTTGCTCCGTCAGTTCTGGGCATCATGTCTGGGGTGAGGGCCCCAGCTCTTGTTCCCTCCTGAGGAGAGCTGAGCTCCTGCAGAGGCTTCCTGCCCCTCAAGACTGTCTCCTCCTTGCAGAGGCCCTGGAGGCGCTGGGGAAACTGAGGCTCAGGAGAGCAGAGAGGGGTGGCCCAGGCACACTCTGTTGGCACAAAGAGGGTGTGTGTGTGGGGGTGCAGGATCCCTGGCTGGGTGCGGGCTAACCTCGGCTCGCTCCTGCTGGGCCTTGGCCTCCCGCCGGACCCGGTCCAGCTCCTCCGTGGCGGCAGACAGCTCCTCTCTCAGCAGGCTCCTCTCTGCTTCTTTCAGGGATAAGGCCTAGAGGTGACAGGGCGGGGTGCAGGTGAGGGGCGTGTGGGGAGTGCAGGGCATGCAGGGCGTGTGGGGTATGAGGGGTGGAGGCTGGCAGCCTCTCTCAAGGCAGAGACACCACAGCGTGCTGAGCGCTCACAGCCCCACCCGCTCACGGCGCTCATGAGGAGTGGCTGGGATCCCAAAGAGACAAACCCTGAGTTCCCCCACCTAGGGGCCACGTCTTGGGGGCAGGCCTGTGGGGTGGGGCCTTGCCAGCCCCAGAACCTCCTCCCTCTAGCGGGCACCTTCCTGACCTCACCCCAGTGTCCGCTGCCCACCATCCCCACTGGGGACGTCCTGCATCTCAGTGAGGCTGAGAGAGCAAACTAACACAATCACAGAGTTACGTTCTCTGTGCCCAGGCCATCTGGGGAAGGCAGTGCAGACAGTGCACATGTGAGTGACCAGTGCTAGGGCCACCAGTCACAGTGGTGTAGTATAGCAGGGACAGCTGGACATCCACTGAGATCCCGGAGACAAAGGACAATCTCTCACCCATGGAACATCACTCAGTCATGACAAAGAATAACAACACTCTGCACAGGTGGGGAGAGACCAATGATTGGCTGGGTGGGTGGTTGAGTGTGTTGATGGCTGGCTGGATGTGTGGATGGTCACATGCATGAATGAACACCTGGGTGCTGGATAGAAAGATGGATGTTTAAGCAAATAAGTGAACGATGGACAGGTGAATGGAAGGACAGGTGGATGCATGGTCAGATGGATTGATGGGCAGAGACTGGATGTATGGATGCATAGGCAGATGAGTAGGTGAGTGGATGCATGGAAGGATGGATAGGTGGGTGAGTGTATGTATGTACGTATGTGTGGGCAGAAGGGTGGACGCATGGAAGGATGGATAGATAGGTGGGTGGGTGGATGGCTGGCTGTACAGTTGGCTGGCTGGCTGCATAAGTGTGTGGATGGGTGGATGGATGGATGGGTGAATGGATGGGTGGATGGATGGATGGATGAATGGGCAGATGGTGGATGCATGGAAGGATGGATAGATAGGTGGGTGGGTGGATGTCTGGCTGTACAGCTGGCTGGCTGGCTGGATAAGTGGGTGGATGGGTGGATGGATGGATGGGTGAATGGGTGGGTGGATGGATGGATGGGTGAATGGGTGGGTGGATAGATGGATGGGTGAATGGGTGGATGGGTGGATAGATGGATGGGTGAATGGGCAGATGGTGGATGCATGGATAGATGGCTGGATGTCGGTCCCCAGGACTGCTATAGAAGAAAAAGGCTTCAATAGCAGTGACTTAAAAAAGCTGCACATAGCCCTATGCTAGGTCAGAGAAGGCACAGTGAGGTAGGGGTGAAGACCCCCACTGTCTCACAGTCCCCCATCACCTGCTGCATTTCATGCTCCAGTTGGAGAATGCTCTCATCCCGCTCCTGCTTCAGGTTTTGAATTTCCTCCTTCAGAGCCTCCCTCTCAGCTGCACCTTTTGCCACCAGCTCCTTCTCCTGTTCCAGCTGGCAGATGGCCACCTCCTTCTCCTCTGTCAATGCCAGACTCATAGTCTCCTGGGCCAAGGCAAAGGGACAGGCTGTGAGAATTGTACAGGTCAGGGTGCATGGAGTCAGCGGGTACTTATGGTCCTGAGTGAGATGTGACTCATGGAATGGGTGGATCAGCAGGTGGACATGGGTGGATGGATGAGTGGATGGGTGGGTAGATGGATGAGTGGATGAATGAGTGGATGGATGGATGGATGGATGGATAGATAGATGGCTGAGTGGATGCATAGATAGCTGGGGGGGTGGTGAACAGGTGGATGAGTAGATGGATGAGTGGATGGATGGGTGGATAGATAGATGGACGAGTGGATGGATGGACAGATAGTTGGCTGGGTGGATGGATGGATAGAGAGATGGATGAGTGGATGCATGGATAGCTGGGGAAGTGGACGGGTGGGTAGATGGAGGAGTGGATGGATGGATAGATGGAGGGGTGGGTGGGTGGATGGTCTCCAGGGTTGTCCAGTCCAGCCAATGGCACCTCTCCCATCTTACATATGGAGACACTGAGGCATGAGCTGTGAAGGGCCTCTCTGGGCCTCAGAACCCACTATCAAACATTTGTTTAACATTGCATAAACCCTCCCCAGGCCTCTACAACGCTAAGCACCATGTCATGTCAAACAGGGCCTCTGTCCCCCAAGACCCTGCGTCCAGAAGGCAGCTCAAGGGAGTGGTGAAGCCCCCTCCAGATATGAGGTCTGAGGCTGCAGCCAGGCCCGTTGACACCCGAGTCTCCACAGCAGCCCTACACACATTTTCTGGGCCCACTCACCTGGATCTCAGTTGGGACCACGGTGAGTGAGCAGGCAGGCTCCTCTGCAGTGCCCCCCACCCAGCCATGTGGTGTTGCCTGGCGCCCATCTCCTTGACTGGTCTCCAGTCCACCTCTCCCAACCCTCAGACCTGAGGGTCTGTGACCCTGCAGAGTGAGAAGAGCCCTGGGAAGCAGCTGCAGCTGGATGGCAGACCTTCTCTCTCTGGAGCCGTGCCAGGTCCTCACGGTGGGCCAGCACCCGGCTCTCCAGGGCCAGCTGTGAGTCCTGCTCTAGTTGCGCCACTTGCCGCCGGAGCCGCTCTAAGTCCCACTGCAGCGTAGTCTCCCGGACCTCCCCTGCACTCTTCAGCTGTTCCATGTCCACTGTGAGAGAATGGGAAAGGATGTCAGAGCCTGCCAGCAGGGGCCCCAGGCCGTGGAGCCACCTTCCCACTGGGTCCTGGCGAGCTCCCTTGGACCATTCCGTGACAGTGACCAGTTTGTGTCCTGAGCCCACACACCATGCTGGCTGTGACCAGCCTTGGGGACCAGCAGAGATGGCCTGCATGGGTGGCTGTGGGGTCAGGGAGGCGGGGGAGGTTTCAAGTGGAGCTCAGGGTGGGATGGAGAGCCAGCATGTTGACCTCGTGGCCGTGGCCCAGTCCTAAAGCAGGCCAGGCAGGGACCTGCTCGCCCCCCACGGACAAAGGCCCCAGGTCTGTGCCCTCGGGGGGCCTCGAGTGGGGGCAGCAGCTCGGGACCTTGAAGGAGCACCTTGCAGGGACTGCTGTGTGAAGCGTGCGCTCTGGGCCGCGCCCTCCAGCTGTTCCTGCTGGGCTTGTAGCTGCGCCACCAGCTGTTGAACCTCAAATAGTCTGCTCTCCAGGGAGTCTCTCTCCACCCTGAAGAGACAAGCATCAGACCACAGGGCTCCCCTCACCTGCCGCCTATGGGGAGCAGTGTCTGCCCGAGCCCAGTCACTGGGTGATGGGTGCCCTGCAGCCAAAGGAGGCTGGCATATCGGATGGTGCACAGGGGACAAGCCACTCACTTGGAGGCTCTGAAAACAAACCCAGACCCTATACAAGTATATGTGCCAGGTGAGATAAAAGCTAACCACAAAAGCAAAACGAACCACACTGCAACGCCATGGATGGAATGTGGTCCCCAGACAGAGATGCTGAAGCCCTGAACTCTGTACCTGTGGGTGCGGCCTGTTTGGAAACAGCATTGCTCTTCTGTCATAAGTTAGGGCAACCAGGTGGTGCAAGAGTAAGGGGTCCTAACTCTTTGTGAGTGATGTCTTATAAAAGGGACAGCAGGGGACAGAGTCACACAGAAGAGGACAGACACCATGGGAATAAAGGGACAGCAGGAGACACAGAATCACACGGGGGAGGACAGACACCTGGGATATGTATCTACAAGCCAAGAGATGTCTGGGGCTACAGGGGCTAAAAGAGACTTGGGAGGATCTTCTTCTAGAGCAGACACAGAGAGAGCAGGGCCAAGCCGACACCCTCAGCTTGAACTCCTTGCAGAACTGTGAGAAAACGAATTTCTGTCCTGCAAGGCCACCCACCCAATGTACGACATTTTGTTACGGTGGCCCTGGGAAACCAAGACAACCAACAATAACAGAACAACTCAAAATTACACACACACCAGAAAAATTGTAGAAGGAAATTTGATCATTTTAAGCAAGACACAGAAACAGAGAGTCCAGCAGATCTGAAGACACGTAAAAGTGGAGGGGGAGTTTTGTGCAGACAAGATTGCATAAACCAACCAAAAATACAAGGGGCAGACTTGGAGAAAACTCTGCCTTTTCTCTGTAAATCCATGGCTAAGTAGACGCATGGCTAAAATCCAACATATGCAAAGAGCTCCTAGCAACCAATGACACAACATCAGCTGACCCTACAGAAAGCGGCTGTTGTTCACAAAGCAAACAGAGCAGCCAATAAGCACATGGAATGTGCTGAGCCTCCCCAGGACACAGTGAGATCAGATGACAATCATATATGTGTGTCCTTCGTCATGCACCAGATGACACACGTGTCACGTTGGGCTTTCTGGCTAAAGCGTCAGGAAAGGGAGAATGTTGTTAAAGACTATGGTGCCACCAGGCTCTGGAGCGCCACACAGGAGACCAACCACATTCTCCAGGGAGGCCATACCAGGAGCCCACTGGGTCTCACCTCTTCCAGGTGTCCCCACCCCAAAGGCAGAGCTTTGCTCATAGGCACAGATTCACTGCTTGGCCCTCAGTCACTGTGTGGGTGGTTCCCCAAGGGTGAGGCCACGTGGGACACGCCCTGACCACTGGCCCAGGGTACCTGAGGTCAGCTGCCTCCTTGGCTGTGAGCTGGCTGTGCTGCTCCAGGGCCTCCTGCTTGGCCAGCAGCTGGGCCCGCTCCTCAGACAAAGCCTCCTTTTCCTGCAGGGCTTGCTGCAGGGAGTCCATGTGGACCTCCCGCTCCTGCAAGCTCTGTATCAGCTGCTCTTCCAGGGCCTGCTTCTTGCAGGTGACCTGTGGGATGGGGATAGGCAGTCCAGTCAGAGGGAGCCACGAGCTTGCAGAGAGGGGAAGAACAGAGGAGTGATCCCACCACTCTGTCTCTTCTCGCCTCAAAGTATTTGCTCTTCTAAGAGTTTTGGCAGAGCACCTGGAAAACAAAGGAAAACTTGTGGCAGTGTTACGACCTTAAAAAAAAGTTGCCATTCAGTCGGCTCCAACTCTGGCGGCCCCGTGAGTGTCTGAGCAGAGCTCTGCTCTACCAGGTCTTCTAAAAGTGGATCACCAGACTTCCTTCTGAAGCAGCTTGGGGTGGACCTGAACAGCCAACCTTCCAGTTAACAACCAAGTGCTTAACCTTAAAGCCTCCAGGGACAAAAAGAATGTATTCACAACAAGTCATGAAGAGAAATGTGGAAGGAAAGTCCAGAAAAGTATGCAACAGGGTCAGGGCAAGATGAAGATCCCAAGACAAAAGCAGAGTAGAGAGACTTCAAAGACACTGGTCAGGAATTTTCCAAACCCAGTGAAATGCATCAGGCCATAGATTTAAACAAACAAACAAACTCACTGCTGTGCAGTCGGATCAGCCACCCCGGCTTGGGTTTCTGAGGTGGTATCACTACAGAAGTAGAATGCCTGATCTTCTTAATACGTCAAGCCATAGATTTACGGTGAGCCACAAATCCACAAAAGAATACATGCAAAGAAAACATCACCAAGATACACTGAGTAAACTTTCTGGCCAAAGAAAAGAATTTTGAAAAATCAGAGGGAAAAGGAACCTCATCTTCAAAAGAGCAACAGCAAGACTGACAGCTGTCTTCCCACAGCAACAATGAAAGCCAGGTGACAGTGGAACCCCTTTGTCCACTGGATGCTGTAAGAAACAGTGGCAGTGCTGGTATTCCACACAGTGAAAATGCTCTTCAGAAATGAAGACCAGAACGGTCTGCTGTTAGAACAGCGAACACCAGCTCTCCCACCCAGAGCAGCTAGAAAACCTCCACAGTATTTAGAAATCTGCTTGAAGGAGTTAGAGAGATTCCAGGTGTGGCTGGGGCTAAGGGATCTCTGAGTGTCAGGCCATGACACAGCTGGGACTCAGCAGAGATGGGGCAGCCACACAGCATGGCCGAGGCTGGGATTGGGGAAAATAAAACAGCTTCAGTTTTATGACCCAACGAGTCAAGCCTGCTTGAGAAAAGATTTACATCAACAGAGGATTTGGGAACACATGCCTGAATGCGTGAGTGACTAATGAGCTCAGCAGTTTGGACATGGACGAGGAAGAGGAAGGAGAGGAGAGGCAGACCCCAAGCCTGCATACCCAGGACAGGTCTGATAGAAAAGGCCTTTGTGCGCATCCCCGCCCACCCTCACCACCAGCCAGACTCTGAGACTCGTGTGTGGTCATCAAGCTGAAGGAGTTGGCAATTTAGAAACACTGGTGTTGGGTTCAGGGGTGCCATGGTGCGTCCACACAGCAGAGGCTCCCCACCCAGGCCTTCCCTACAGCCCAGCCCACAGACGCCTCACCTGGCCCACTTGCTCCTGCAGCTGCGCCCGCTCATGCTGGAGCTGGGCCACCTGCCCCTCCAGCTGCTCCTGTTGTCCCTCCAGGCACCCGTAGGCCTGCTGCAGGCCCCTGTGCTCCACCTGCTCCCGTTCCAACCGCTGCTCTGCCCGTGCCAGCTGCTCCCGTGCGGCAGCCTGCTCCCGTTCCAGGGCTTGCTGCTGCTCCTGTAGGTGGTCACGCTCCTGTTCCAGCTGCCACGGGGAGGGGGAGGCATCAGGGGGCAGCGGGGTCCTGCCTCCAGGGCACGCTCAGCCTGGCCAGGGCCAATCAAGAACCCTCATCGCTTGGGGAGAGTGAGCCTCCATCCAGGAACAGAAAAGACCACAGGGCAGGGGGTAAGTGGTGAAAGGGGCCTGGAGAAGCCAAGGCTCAGGGCTGGGTCCCAACAGAGCCCTGTGGGGTGGCCCTGCCCTGCACACCAGCCCACCTGGGCCCTGGGCTTACCTGGAGGATCAGGTGGTTCAGGGTGCCCTTGTCCTGAGCCAGCCCCTCCATCAGGGCGGCCATCTTGGCCAGGGAGTCCCTTTGCCCCACCCCCTCAGACTTGAGCCGGGTCACCAGCAGTTCCAGGTCAGCATTGCTGGACTCGGCCTGAGGTGGAGCAGGGGGCAGGGGTCACCCCAGAGGGTACACCAGAGGAGTTCCACATTCATAGGCCCCAAGAAGGAGTGAGCCCCTTGTCATCCTACAGCGATCCCAGTGAAGAAGGGGGTCACCTGGGTATGAAGGCTCCAGCCAGGAGGAGGGCACAGTGGCCAGGGGAGAGTGGCAGGAGGTGAGAAGAGGCCAGCAAGGTAAGAGGTGTTGGGGAGGATGAGGTGGGGGCAGAAGGAGGCTCTGGTGGTGGCTGAGGGCACAAGTGGGGAGGGGGATGGTGAGGCTGGGGAGGCCTGGGCCTGCAGGAGACAGGGCGTACCCGGGCCAGGGCACTACGCAGACCCTTGCTCTCATTCTCCAGCACGTCTCGCTGCAGCTGAGTGGCATTCAGTGCCTCCCGGGCTGACACCAGCTCCTTCCGGAGCCCCGAGACCGTCCCCTCCAGCTGTGCCAGGCGCCCTTGGCTAAGGCCAGAGAGGGGAGAAGGCATGAGTTTGCCACAGGGTGGCAGGGTGACTATAGAGTCCTACTCCTCCCCTAGCCCTGCAGGGACACCCTAGAGGGCCAGGAGGTGGGAGAGTCCGGGGCAGATGTTGGACGAATGTGCCCCTGGTTCTGGGCTGCAGGAAGTTATCAGCCAAGACCCGCTACCTGGAGGATGTGTGGGTTTTCTGGTCCACACATGGACAGTAAGTGTGCAAATGTGGGTATAGGAGTGTTCGAATGAGTGTACATTTATCTGAGTGTGCAAATGTGTGTGTGCACATACGTACATACGTGTGTGTGTGCCAGGTGTGGGAGGCACTCAGTGTGCCTGGGCTGACTGCTGTGGCCCTCCGGCCCCTCACTGGGCCCTTGGGGCTGGATTTTGGACGTCTGGACCCCTCTGCCCCCTGGATCCCCCACAGTTTGTGGAGATGGGCTGGTGAGGATGCAGCCCTGTACTGGGGAGGATGTTGAGGCTGAGAGCTGACAGCCCCAGGCCACACGGTCTGCAGGTGGTCTGGCCACACCCTCGCATGCTCCGGAGCACCCCAGGCCGTGGCCACCTGGTGTCCAGCTCCCGCCAGTTCCGGCGCTCCTGCTGTGCTAGCTCGGGCCCCTGCTCTGCACACAGCAGGAGGCGTCTCTGCCGCTCAGCGCTGGCGCCCTCCAGTGCGCATCTCTCCATAGCCAAGATGTCCACCTGCCCCCTCAGCTCCTCCACCACGGCCTCCAGGGCTGCCTTCTCCCTGGGGCAGGGGCAGCAGCGTGGGGGGGGGGTGAGGACCCTCCCCGGACAGATCCAACCCCGGTGAGAGCCTAGAGTGGTCAAGGACATGGCTTCCTGCCACTTCGAGGCTGCTGGGCACGGAAGCCAGGGACATGGAGGAAGAAGGAGGCAGACCGAGGTAGTGGGCTCAGACCCCATGGCCTCTGGTCATGTGGCCACTCCCTTGGCAGCCCTGTGGGGCCGAAGGACACGTGAGGGTTCTCACTCACTGGGGAACTGCAGGCCTCGGGGAGCTCCGGGGGTGAGCCAGCCTGGGCCTCAGGACCTCCGGACGGTGCCCTCAGTCTGGGCAGTGCAGTGGGAAGCATCAGGGGCAGCCCAGGGGGGCCGGGTGAGGGGAAAGGAGGTGGCCTGAGGGCATAGCCCCTCACCTGACCCTGCCCGCGTCCCCCCCGCCCCCTGCCTTGCTCTGGCCCCTGCCTGGCCTACCCCTGCCTTGGCTTCCATCACCTTCCCAGGCGCTCGGTGGACAGCCTGCAGCCCTGCGCCTCCTGACTGCGGGTCTCCAGCTCATCCAGGAGGCCCTCATGCTCCCGAGCCTGTTCCCTCGCCTGCTCCTGCAGAAGCCCCTGTGAGGCCCGAAGCTCCTGCTGGCACTCGGACAGCTGCTCCCGGAGCCTGGCCGCCGCCACCTGGGAGGCCTCCAGCTGCAGGCGCAGCTCCTGCAGGGAGAGGGTGGGAGGCTGGCCAGGACTCCCCGTCCCCCAGGAAAGATGCCCTAAGCCTGCAGCCCTTCCCCGGGATGTGAGCCTAGGTGGCTCCTAACTGGGACGTGGGCTCGGGCGGCCCCAGGGGGCCATCCGTGTATGTACAACTTGGCTCTGGGCCCGAGGGCCGTGGCGCCCACCTGCTCCCGCTGCTGCCGTCTCTCGATGGCTGCCCACACGGCCTGCAGGGTGGCATGCAGGGTGGCCGGGGAGTGGGTCCGGGGGGTGGACAGCCCCCCAGGCCGGGGAGATGCGGTGTGGAGGGGGCTCCTTGGCTGGCCCAGAGCCTTGTAGTCTTCTGGGCTGCTGCCCGGCACCCTCTCCATGTCTGCCGAGGCCAACTTTGGGGAGCAGAGGGGAAGGTACGGAGGTGAGAGGGGTCCGGGCTATGATTAAATGGGGCCTTCCAGCTGGACCCATGGGTTGTCAGGACGTGTGGGGCATCCTTTCACCAAAGACAGCACAAAGGGCTTGAGTGATGGGGCCAGGCCACATGGCTGGCAAGTGGGCGACCGGGTCTGGAATGCTCCCAGGTGCCCAATTGCAGCTCCACCCCTGAGCCTCAGGCCCACCTGCACTCCTCCCTCCCTAACAACCCTGAGTTCCCAGAGGACTGGCAAGGAGGGCACCTGGGCAATGCTGCTTAACACACGCTGCAGACGGTCCGCTTGGCCCCTCAGGTCATCTGCCACCCACTGACCCCTGCCTCACTGGGATTCCTGCGGCCAGGAGAACCCTCAGTGGAGTGGGCCTCCCCAGCCTGGGCTGGGGTGAGGAGGCTGCCCGGCCCCACGTACCAGTCTCTGCACCTCCACTGTGAGGGTGTTCATGGTGCTGTCCTTCCTGGCGTTCAGCTCCGTGAGCTGTTCCACCAACTGCGTCTGCTCCGAGAGTCTGTGGAGTTGGTACAGAGCACAGAGCCCACATGGCTCCAGGCCCCTCCTGGACACACTGTGTTTTGCCCACTAGCCTTGGTGTCATTGCCCATCGGTCCCCGCTACATCTGCCCTCAGGGCCTCAGCCCCTGGTGTGATCGGACATCTCTCCCCTGCTACAGAACTCAGCGACTCCTGCTGGCCTGGGAGCAAAATGGAGTCCAGCGTTCCAGACCTCACGCTGGCCTGACTCGGCACTGCAGCCTCGTGTCGACGGCTGCTCAAGACCCTGGCCGTCTGCCTGGCATGGGGGGTGCTACACTTGTCTCCCCTCTGCCCTGGCTGGTCTCCCCACCTGGAACACTGCCATCACCCTCAGTCTGACAGACCGGAACCTCCTCTGGCTCCCCCACCCACCCACCCACCCACTGTGGCACCAGGGCCTCCCTTCCCATGGCCCACAGTCTTTGGTCCAGCCCGAGGGCTGCGGGGCTGCCTAGCCCATGTCCAGGCCCTGCAGAGGCACGCCTTCCTTTGGGGCTGGAGCTAGGGCGTGCTTGCCTCAGTTGGCCACTCTGTAGGTGGGGGCTCGTGTCGGGTCAGCCAGGCACGAGGGGTGGTGGCTGAGCACGCACTGCAGCACCAGGCTCTGTGGCGTTGCGGCCACTGCTGGGGAGCCGAGCCCCAGAAGCCAGGTCCGACCACTGCACTCAGGACCTCGTCCTTACGAGGCGGGAGGGGCCCTCCACCCCGGCCTCAGCTCCCTAACCGCTTGGCCTCCAGACAGACCCAGGCGCCTGGAAAGACGATCCTGTTCTCACTGGGAACAGAGCCCGTTCACTGCTGTGTCATCGAAAGCCTCACATGTTAGGGACACTACATGCTCGTCCCATGTGCACTGGGGAAGCTGCACCATGGAAACAGTGACTGTGAGCGTTTGCTGAGTCCCAGCCCTGTGTCAGATCGCTGGGTGAAAACTGGTCACAGTGACACGACCCCAGTCCCCGCAACCACACAGCCCAGCAGACAGGAAGGAGGATGCTGGGACAGCCACCAGGCCTGGGCCCACCTGGCCTGCAGCGCCACCTTCTCCGCGTCCCAGCAGCCCTGCAGCCCGCGCATCTCCTGAACCTCGTCCTGCAGCCGCTGCTCCAGGGCGCCGGCCGGACTGCAGGCTGCCAGCCGCAGGTTGGAGTTCAGCTTCCGGCAGGCCATTTTCAGGTGCCGTGCTGTCCTGGCCGCATCTGCCCGCATGTCGGCGAGACCCCTGGAGAGTCAGGGGTCCCCCCCAGAGCTGAGTCTCGGCAGCTGGCTGGGGGTCCAGGCTGGATCGGACTCGGTCAGGCCTGCCCTGCCCTGCAGCAAGGCAATCCGCTGTCCTCAGGAGAGGCCGTCACGGGGCATTGGCTGGCCCGTGTGAGTCTGGGGCTCCAGACAGGCCTCTCTGCTGTGTTCTCCTCTCCCCACTGCCTGTGCCTGCCCGGCTCAGCCGTTTACCCTTCTCCAGCACGGCCACCCTCCTCTCCCTCTCCACCATGTCCACTGGGCCACGGGGTGGGGATGCTGTGCCAAGGAAGAAGCCAAGTGGAGGGGCCGACACCCCTCCCCTTCGCGCAGACAGGCACTGGGCAGCGTGGCGCCTGGCCCTTGGTGTTGTTGTTGTTGTTGTTATGTGCCGTCGAGTCAGCCCTGACTCATAGCGACCCCTCCTTGGGTTCCCGAGGCAGTATCACTACGGAAGTAGGATTGCCCAACCTTCCTTCCGAGGAGTGGCTGGTGGGTTTGAACCGCCAGCCTTCTGGTTAGCAGGCAAGTGTCTTAGCCACTATGCTACCAGAGCTCGGCGGCTGGAACTCACCTCTCGGTGGCAGCTCGAAGCTCGGCCAGGTGTGCCCGGAGTGCCGTGGCCTGTTTCCACAGGAGTAGGAGGTCCTGGGACTCTCCCAGGCGTGTCCGCCAGGCCTGGACAGCAAGTGGCATGTGTCCACTTCAGGTGAGAAGCCCAGGCGCTGCTGGGGAGTGGAGCCCTGTGACCCCCTTCACCACCCTCCACTGTCTTCCAAGGTCCATGCTAGGCAGGCTTCCCAGGGCCCTGGTACCAAGACCCATACCACTCACTAGTCCCCACGTCCCAGCTGCTTGCCTGCCAGAACCGTGTACACAAGCCTTGGGCCCCCCTGTACCCCATCCTCTGCAATCCTGAGCCCCCAGGAGAGCCCCCTAACCCCATGTGAATGGTGCTGGGTTGCCTGGCTTCCAGTGGCCCTATGACACCTGCCTGCTGGTGGGGGTCGGGTGAGATAGAGTTTAGGGTCCTTTCAAGGGGCAGGGATTCCAACTTGGCAGTGGGGGTGCTGACTCAGTGGCACTCACCAGCACTCATGTGGAAATACTAAGCAACTGAAACTCCCAGAACCAGGACCCCCTTAGCCCATTTTCCACTGGGCCATTAGACTTCAGGGAGTACTTGGCTCCTGTCCCTTCAAGCCAGGAGGAGGACAGGGGTCCTTCTTTTTCTCCAGTACCAGGAGAGGCTGCTCTGACCCAGGTGTGCTAAGTGAGTGTTCAAGTACCTTGGAGGTTCTGGGGAGACAGGGACAGGTTTGGAGTTTTCATCATTCAGAAGCCCCATGGAGCAGGGGTAGATGGGGAGCTGCCCGTGGAGACAAGGCAGAGTGGACTGGGGTGGTGGTGGAGCCAGGAGGTCCGGCAGGAGTACAAGCATGTGCTGTCGCTCAGCACGCCCGCCCTTGCACTGAACTAAGCTGTAGCCCTGAACAGCTGGTCCTGAGTCTCCATGCCACCTTCCAGGCCCCTGCACCCCAGTGTCTCCTGCATGCTCACCTTCAGGGACCCCAGAGGCTTAACAAATACACCCAGTACTTCCTACGTCCCTATTATCCCCTCCCTGAGGGTGACAGCCCAGCCTTTTGATGAGCTCCTTTCATGATGCTCTTTGAGATTGTGTTCACAATCTGCCTGTTCTTCAAGACCCATGGGACCGCCTCTCTTCATGAAGCCTTTCCTGATCCTCTTTCCTCTCTCCCACATCTGAGGTCACCCTCACCCTCGCTGAGCCAAATATCACTTTACTGAGTGTCTTCTATAGGGTGCCCACTTTCTGTCTGGTACCAAGCTTTCTGTATACTTGTTTTCGCTGTGCCCCTCCCCTGCCCCTGGGATCATCAAAAAAGTAACATGGAAGGCCACATGCCTGGACTGACCTGCCCAACAAATACAATTAAACCCACTAGACTCTATACTTAGCAACTTCTTCATGAATTCAAGGATGGGCTGACCAAAACAGTAAGGAACACTCAGGCCAGGAAGTGGGGAAGGGAGGGGCCCAACAGGGACATAGGCAACTTCTTGCCAAACTGGGCAATTTTAGTCTCAGTGTCCTTGGCACAAGGGGCTCAGGGGACAGAGAACAAGTCCTAGGGCCCACCCAAACTGGGGAGCCTAATAGGAGAATGCCTCACACATAAAGATGATATCCCAAAATCTCCACTCTCAGTGACAGAGTGAATTAGAATACCACCTCCCCCTCCATACACATACACACTTTTACAACAGACTGTAAGGAGAACCGTCTAGAACATTGGAATTGAGCAGAAGGAAAAAAAAAAATCCCTGTGGATTTGGAACCACAAATTAGCTTTCATGCAGTTAATAACCTAATTCTATACAATCTGGGTTATCTAAAAAAAAACAAAAACAAAAACAAAACTCAGGTTGGAAATTTACTTCAAAGTGACCCCACGGACTGGCAGAAACCAATGCAAATCCTTTCTGGAAGATGCCACATTCATTTTAGGTCTCAACGAATCATCACAAAGTTCCAGGGAAAAGAAGCAGTACTTAGTTTAAAAATCACCAGAGACACGAGGAAACAAAGCACCATGATCAAGAGCCAGTAGCAACAATAGAATCAGACCCTGAAAAACTTCATTTGTTAGAAATTGGACAAAGAATAGAAAATAACTTTCAGGTTTTGAAAAATATGCTTCAACAAATAAATGAGAGGTTTGAAAATATGAATAAAGAATAAGATACTTGGAAAAGAACCAAACAGAATTCTTAATTATGAAAACGGTATCTGGATTGAACAGGGATTAGACACCAGTGGAAAAAAATGATGAACAGGAATGTAGATTTGCAAAAATTATGTGGAGTACAGCTTTGGGTGACAAAAAGAAATAAAATATGAGAGGTTGAGAGGCATGGATGATAGCCTAAGAATGTCCAACATACATCTAACTGGAGCTCAGAGGACAGCAGAGCAACAATGAGCACAGACAATGTTTACGGACATAATGGCTCCTTTCCAGAAGTGAGGAAAGACCAAAGACACCCAGTGAATCCTAAACAGGACAAACAAAAGAAATGTACATGCAGATGCTTCAGAGTAAAGCTGGAGAATGCCAAGGTCAGTGCAAAGACCTCGAAAGCAGCCAGAGTGAACAGACAGATTACCTTTACAAGGAGTCAGTCAGACCAAAGGAGGCGGGAAAGCTGACTTCTAGACAGCAGCAGTGGAAGCCAGGAGACAGAAAGGACGTCTTTAAAGTGCCGAGAGAAAACAACTGTCAACCAGTGAGGACATGTTTCAAGAAATGAAGATCCCTGTTAGCACCGAATTGAATTCTGGGGACTCTCTTCCCAGGACACCTGTCACATGTGAGAAGCCCAGCTGCGTGGGTTGTATGAAGGTGTGCACCAGGCAATAACCTGGGGGTGTGATCTGTCAAATATCTCCCCCACCCTCCTGATGACAAACAGCTCTCAGTGGCACTTCCTCTCTTATGCCCCAGCAGTTTTGTGATTCCACCCCCTCCCCATGCTGGGGGTGATATTGGGGTGGTAGCAGCAGGAGTCTCTGGTAGCATAGTGGCTAAGACACTTGCCTGCTAACCAGACGGCTGGTGGTTCAAACCC